TCGTTTCTGACACCATCACCGTTTCTTTGGTGGCCAAAGGCAGCAATCCAGGACTCAAATCGACTACGATGTCGGTCAAAACTTCTGATTTAGTCGCAGTCCTGGGTTTATATTCGATGTCAAAATCACTCATTTTGACTGCCCACTTGCCAGTTGACCTGACAATTTAGGTTTGTGAAGGATATTCCGCAGGGAAAAAACCACGGCTATCAGGTGGCATTGAAAATAAGGCCTAATATTTCAAGCGATGACTACGAGAGCTAAGGCCAATTTTTTGAGGTGCGGGTAGCGAGTTTTCGCTCCCGTTAAAATTTTGCTAACGTAATAGATAGGAGATTGCATACCTTCATCTCCCGGACTAGAACGACACTTACCGCTACTTCCGAGACCACTAAGTAAATCAGCAATTGTTCACCTTCCTCCGGTTTTGATAGTAACAGAGTGCTTAATAAATACCTTTTCAAGTTTTTAGGGCCTGTTGGCATTCCAGAGTCCATTCGAAGTTCTTCTTCTTCTTCATAAGTGAGAAGAAATGATGGCATTTTTCCGAAGACCGGGAAATGAACCTTCTTAGAGCGGCTAGTCTTCCAGTTAACCTTCACATTTGTCAACTGGTCGGGAATGTCCTCGATGGCTTTAATTTTATCGGGATTAACTTTGATCCCCCTTTGTGACACCAGAAAACCCAAAAATTTATCGGAGCTGACTCTGAATGCACACTTTTCGGGGTTAAGCTTCATGGTGTGCTTCCTTAGGATGTCAAAGGTTTCTTGGAGGTGTTTCAGATGGTCACCTGCGGTCAAAGACTTAACCAACATATCATCTATGTATACTTCTATTGTTTTTCCTATTAGCTTTTCGAACATTTTGTTCACGAGCCTCTGATAAGTGGCTACAGCGTTCTTAAGCCCCGAAAGGCATCACATTGTAGCAATATGTGCCAAAGTTTGTTATGAACGAAGTTTTTTCTTAATCCTCTGGGTTCATTTTGATTTGGTTGTACCCGGAATAGGCATCAAGGAAACTCATCAACTCGTGCCCAACCCTCACATCAATCATTTAATCAATGTTTGTCAATGGGAAAGTGTCTTTTGGGCATTCCTTATTCAGATTCTTATAATCTACGCACACGCAACATTTGTTATTCTTTTTTGGAACTACTACTATGTTAGCTAGCCAGTCTAGATATTTTACCTCCCAGTTGAACCGATATCAAGAAATCGAGTTACCTCTTCTTTGACGAACCTATTTCTGACCTCGGCAATCGGGCACTTCTTTTGACTTACCGGAGGGATGTTGGGGTCCAAGATTAACTTGTGCACAACCACCTCTAGAGCAATACCTGTCATATCCGCATGCGACCATGAAAAACAATCAACATTAATTTTAAAAATTATTATAAATCCTGACCTGAGCTTAGGGTTTAATCTTGTCCCCAAGTGGAACTTCCTCTCTAAGAACTTCTCGAACAATGCTACTTGTTCGAGTTCTTCCGTTGTGGTGGTTGCATCCATTTCTTCTAGTACCTGGAAATACCTTAGTACCTAATAGGATTCTGATGGCTCCTCTCCTTTGTCGACCTCGTTTGGTTCGGGAGCAAGTGTCGATTCCTGTAATTGTTATGTCGCATGTTCCTTCCCTTTACTGTTGGAAACCGAGATCGCGTTCATCTCCTTTGCTGCCGATTGATCTCCTCTTATTTGTTTAGTTCCCTCTAGGGTTGGGAATTTCAGGAGTTGATGGTACGTTAATGGCACAACCTTCATTTCGTGTAGCCATAGTCTGCCAAGAATAATGTTGTAGCTCATGTCGTCGTCTAATACTTCAAACAAAGTAGTCTTCATGATCCCTTAAGCATTTGTGAGCAGTAGGATCTCCCCTCTGGTTCTCACACTTGCTAAGTTGAACTCGGCAGGAGCTTTGTGGCCGGAATGATGCTTTCGGTTAGCTTGGCATGCTCCAACACTCTCCATTGAATGATATTGGTTGAACTTCCTAGGTCCACCAAAACACGTTTAATTTTAAAATCTAAAACATTAAGAGAAATTACCAGGGCATCATTGCGCGGTAGTAGGAGTCCATCGGCGTCCTCCTCTGTGAAGGTGATATCGTCCTCGGCGACTTTCATGAGTCTTTTGCTATGAGTCACAGATACCTTTGTCGTTTTCGCTGCTGGAAAGGTTACCCCATTAATCTCGTCCCCCCCCCCCCCAAAAAAAAAAAAAATCTTGTTGCTCGTTAGTCGAGGAGGATCTTCTCCTGTCTTTGAGGGTTTTTCGTTATCTTAGTTGTAGCCGTAGCTATTTTTAGGCCGGTCACTTAAGAATTCTCTGAGATGGTCGTTTTTCAGCAACATCGCAACCTCTTCACGCAGATATCGGCAGTCCCTAGTCCGGTGGTCGTAGTCCCATGATACTCACACCATAGATTAGGATCCCTCTGATTGGGATTGGATCTCATCGGCCTCGGGAACCGTGCTTCCTTAATGTTCCTCATCGCCGATACCAGCTCCACCATACTGACATTGAAATTATACTCGGATAGTCTAGGGTAGGTGGAATCCCGGTAACCTGATATCTCTTTGTCCTGCAATGATCTTGTCGGTAGGGAGCCTGTCTATCGACCGAAAACCTCTACCACTTCTTTCGACCCTTCGTAGGGCAAAAACCCGCCCTTAGAAAATCATCAATCTGTGTCGAAATCATCCTTTGACTTCTCCTTGTTCTTTTCTCGATCCTGACCCTTCGTTGATGCCGGGAAACCGAGCTGGTCGTCTTTTATTCTTATCTTTGATTCGTAGTGATTGTGGACATTTGCCCATGTAGTTTCCTAGAACTCGAGCAAGCTTTCTTTTAGTTTCCGGGAAGCGTCGGAGCTCCTTGGGTTCAGCCCCTTAGTAAATGTCTCAGCTGCCCATTTATTTGGCACGACTGGTAGCAATATCCTTTCCTTCTGAAACCTAGTCAGGAACTCTTGTAGAAATTCGAACTCTCCTTGCGCAATTCTGAATATGTCGGCATTTTGTGCCTATACCTTCCTAGCCCCCGCATGGCCTTGATGAAAGAATCCGCAAGCATCTCAAAGGAATCTATTGAGTGCTCGGGTAAAAGTGAATACCATGTCAGGGCCCCATTCGTGAGGGTTTCCCCGAACTTCTTCAGTAGGACTGACTCAATCTCGTGCGGAGCTAAGTCGTTTCCTTTCACCGCCGTTGTGTAAGTAGTGATATGCTCCTATCCGAGGTCCCATCATATTTTGGTACGTCTGGAATTTTGAACCGCTTCGGGATAAACTTTGGTGTGGCGCTCGGTTTGAACGATAACTAGGTGTATTTCTTTGAGTCTGGTCCCTTCAACACTGGCGGTGCGCCCGAAATTTGGTCCATTCGGGCCTTTATTTCCCTCATAAACCGTATGAGCTCAAATTTAAAGGGAATCATTCCCGTTGTTGTTACCAGATCCGTTGTCGTCTTCCCCGGCCCTATCAAAGATGACCTCACCCCTCGGGGTGTTGTTATCAACCCTTTGCACTGTTTGATTTTTGGGAGCAGAGGAAGGAACTGGACCTCTTCCATTCGCGTTGTTGGAAGCACTCGACAACGCTTGCCTCAACTTTGTCATGGCCTGGTCTTGGGGCGAGAGATGGCCCATCATATAGCCTTTTATTGTTCTCTAAGGATTCTCACCATTTCCGCAACGTGCTCGTCTTCAGCATCATCAGGAGTTGCCTCCCGTATGTGTCGTGGATATTGCCCGCCATGGACCGGCGTGGCTAAGTCATTCTCATTGCGGGTATCACTAATCGAATCTTCGTGTTGAGGCGGATTTCATCGTGCCTCAACGTTGTGTGCGATGTTGACATCGTTATCTGCCATCTTTTATGATATTTTGCTAAGAAACAAAGATTTAAATAGATTAGTAATAGATGCAAGGATTAACTCAATTACATAACTGTCTAAGCCCCACGATGGGAGCCAAACTATTTACCCATAAAATGGTACAATTGAATTTATAACGTGATTTATAGACAAGAGACTCAATTTGATCCCAAAATAATAAATAAATTAAATAAAATATAAAATTAAGCATTGAAATCGAGATAAGCCAGCAAATAGCTTGGTTCCGGACGCAAGGCTACCGAAGACAGCAATGAGAATATCAATAGACTGAAAATAAAGTATTATTGGTTTAGAATAATGTGTAGCATAAGTTTGTTAGAACTTTCATGTCTTATAATGGCCGTTAAAGTTACTATTTATAGCTACTCCTAGGGAACAAGGTCCTAGGATCAAGCCCCTCTTAAATGACAATTATGGGGGCCATTGATGAATGTGTAACGGCAGCTATGAATGCCAAAATTCTCTATAACAGATTGTCTATTTAATACTAAGGAATATTCTTCATTGAATGTCATCGGGTGGCAAATATTTGTTTGTCCTTGTTAGCAATATTCCTTTCATGGTCTGCCCGGTGCCAACCGAAGTTGCTGTTCCGGTCTTGGTTTTCACTTGCCTCATTTTCCCGCTGTCTTCGGTTCCACGTGTCGCTTTATTATTCGAGTATTTAATATGAACCGATTTTACCCTATACAATATGTCTAGCTTCATTTTACTTAATGCCAACATACCCGCATAACGATTCGTTCACCTTTAATCAATCTAGAATTGAATTATGAAAATTTAAAAAAGGTGTATTATTACTTTTAGCCCGCAGCAGAAACTATTTACATTTGATAGTTGAAAAAGTATATATATATAGAGAGAGAAAATATATTTTTTTATTATTATTTTAATAGTAGCTATACAGTGTCATTTTTCTTTTAAAAAAATGTAGGGAGCGCTATTATATGAGTCCAAAATGTGGATATTGAATATTCAAGTGAAAAATTAATTTTTAAAAATTTGTCCGGCTATTGTAAACCACTGGGTCGAGTCACCTCCTAGTTGGAAAGCACTGATCCATCGCTACAAAACCAAAATCAACCCCAAAAAGGAATTATAATTAAACCCAAAATAGAAGAGCACAACAAAGCAACAACCAAACTCTTGCAGCATTCTCCATCTACATCTAATCATTTATTTATATACTAATCAAGATAGATCTACACCCATTCTTTTCCTAATTTTATAATACCAATAACTCTTCCACCATAAAATTCAACTCTTCCCATCTCTAGCATCGGTTTTGTCGATTTCATCAAAACCCTATATTCCTCGCTTTTGTGACACCCAAGTGATTCGCTTGCTTTTAACATTTATTCTTGTTATCTATTTTTCAACATGAGACAGAGGAAATCAGCAAAATCTGACGCTCAACAGCTAGACCAACATCAGAATGGTCACCTGTCTAAATTCAGAAAAGTTTTCGATCCCGAAGCTTCTTGGGACAAGGTTCGATTTTTCACTTTTTTCGTTCAAGCATGGATACTCACTGTACATGGCTTTCTGTTATGGATATACTTTTTTCCCCCTTTTATGCTGCTGATTGAGAATTTTAACTTCTGGGTCTTCGTTTATGGTAGATTTCTTTCCGTCATTCTTGCATATTTGAGAGGAAAACTATATATCTTAGAATCCCACAAATAGAGAAGCACTTCATAAGCTTTTGATTGTATTGGAGTGTTTAGTGGGAGATTTGGAGTGGTAGGTGGAGTGACTAAGACATTCGAAAGGTTTTTCTTTGCTTTATTATTATGGCTGCTCTTCAGAAAACTGCATAGGTTAGAGCTACAAGTAATTGTAGATGTATTGCATCCTAGGGTGTGGCCTAATGGTCAATAAAGTGGAAGGAGAACCATGGGTTCTCAGCTTCAAATCACCTAGACAAGAACAACAGGTGATTTCTTTCCTTGATGGGTGGGAGATACTAGCAAGTACCCGGTAGACTAGTTGAGGTGTGAGCAAGCTGGCCCGGGCACCACTGTATGAATAAAAAGAAAAGTAGCTGTAAATTTATTTACTAATTTTTATCTTTAAAGCTTAGAGATTTTTCAGTTAGCAGATGTTTTAATTTTTCCTTTGTTACAACTTGCAACATTAACCTGAAAAGGAAAGATCTTTAGACTTTTTGCTTCTCCTTTAGTTTTCTGGTAGCAGACCAGGGTTGTGCCACAGCTTGATGTGTCAGTTTCAGTTTTTGGGTGTATTATACATTAGTAAATCCAGTAATTGTTTTTATCTTGTAATTGCAGGATCAACTGGGTGATGTATTGCATTGGGCTAGACAATTGATGGCCCTTGTTTGTGGGTTAATATGGGGTGCCATTCCTTTAGTTGGTGGTGTCTGGTTTATGTTGTAAGTTTTCTTCTGTACCTTCTTCTTCTTTTTCTTGAAGGCATGGAATCTGCTATTAACTTGCTCTATGTCAAGTTCTCTGTAATATCTTCTTCATTCCTGTAACTGCACTTCATTTCTGTATGTTGTTATTATACGATGAGTTTTTTTGCCCACTTCATTAGCTCTTGTCAATTGTTGTTTGTATGTTGAGTTTATTTCAATTAATTAGCTCTTGTTGATTGCTTGTTATCAGTTGAGTTTATTTCAATTCATTAGCTCTCGTCCATTGCTTATTATCAGTTGATCAGCTCTTGTAAAAGTGACACACATTGGGCAACTTTCTTACTTCAGTTAGCTTATATGGTAACTCTTCGTGTTTGTACATACTGTTCTGCTTTGTTTACATGGACTTGGACAAACTGTCATAGCATGGAAATTGCTCCAGAATATTATGTCAATATTAAAATTATGATGTCTGTAATCATTCATTCACCTAGGAGGCGTGAGTGTAAGGTTTTTTCAAAATTAGGGGCTGTCTGTCTGAGGACATGTTAAGACAACCAGGGACATGTGTTGTCATTAACAAGAAAGGGAACTGAAACTTGCAGGGAACAGAAAACTTAGTTTTATTCTCACTATTAAAGTAGTTAAGGAGAAAAGGGTGAACTGAGCGTATATGAGTGAGAGAGAGAGAGAGGGGGGGAGGGAGAGATTAGTTTGAAGACAAAGCTGACTAAGAGGCTATAGCCTTTCACTCGATGCTAGTGAAAGAAAGCCCTTTCATCCTGATCACATCTATTGAGGAGGGGGAATCTCTTAGAACTGCATAGGAAAGAATGTCATATTAGCTCTGAAAAAGTGATCCAAAAATGGATAATGGGAGGATACACAAGAAACAAGTATAAAAAAGCATGGGAGCATGCACAGTTGTCATGAGCTTCTTTGATCATCAATGTACTTCAATTTCTGTAGGAGCATTTCAATCTTCAATCTTATCTGTATTTGAGCAAGTCCCTCTTGACTTCACTAATTTTGGGAAAGTAATTTCTAAGAATTCTATTTTGGTAGTTTAAATGGCTCATTAAAGTACTTCAACAACTTCTTCTGGACTTATTAGACTCTCTAATTTGGATTCTAAAAATGTTTCTAATTATTCTTTGGGTAAAATTAATTATTTGATTTAAATTTTTTTCCTTATTGAAATAATAAATTGTTATTAACAGAATATTTTGATATGATTAAATTAGGTAAAAAGATTCAAAAAAGAACAGGTCTTTATATAGAGCCGGCATATTAATTTTGCTCGAGCCTTTAATCGTCAGATGACTTGAAGGACGGTTTTTTTTAATAATGGTGGAGTTTGAGTCAGCTTGCTCGCATCTCGACCATTCCACCGTGTACCTGCTATCTTCCACTAGAATTTTTTGTCTCTAGCTCTCTACTGGAATTTGAACCCCAGTTTCCCATGATTTTTGCCCACTTTATTGACCTCAAGGTCCACCCACTTAGCGTTAGGTGCTTACTGGAAGGGGACACTGTTTTTCTCCTGGAGTAAGAATTTCTCTTTGAGGAGTGAGGTGAATGTCTGTGTCCTTTTTTGTTTCTCTCTATTTCTTTTCTAAGTGGTAGTCTTTGAAAATTGTTCCAATTAGTTAGAAGTTTCAGATTCTACACCCATTCAGGTAATAAGATTTCCAATTACTTTGAATAGCCTCTTTCTAATGAAAAGATAAGTCAGTACATCTAACTGTCTCCAAACCCTTTCAGATAGGGACTTTATGTCTTCCTCAAAAACACAGGCATTGAGAATTACCTTATTAAAAAAAAACATACAGGCATTAAGGAGATTGATCTTTTTTTTTGAGTTACCTTGAAGCATAGAGTTCTCTGATGCAACTGTTGTTCTGGGTGTTGTCAATGAGTGATTGAATACGGAACTTTTGATTAGGGAGAGAAGTTGAAGGAAAAGACTTAGATGTAGGAGCGAGACTTGTCTCACTCATTCCAACCTACAAAATAGGGGATTTCAGCTTTGTAGTAAGTGCCCCGTGTGTGAAGATCACTCTGAAGATGTTGGCCACCTCTTTTTGCATTGTAGAGTTACTAGTCAGATGTGGAGCATGTTGCTGGCAATCCTTGGCATGTTCTGGACCATGCCAAAATCCACTAAGAAGCTACTGCAATGATGGTACAAGGAAGGGTTGTGCAAGAAATGACAAAAGACTTGGAATACCATCCCTCAAGCCATTTGGTGGACTGTTTGGCTTGAAAGAAATGAAAGAATTTTTGAAGGCCATAGGAGAAGTCTACATAGCCTTAGACGAAGCTTTATTTTTTGAGAAAATCTCACTTTATACCCATTAAATTCAAACTATTTACCCTTAAATACCCATACCTAAACTATTTACTACTCCTACCCATGGGCCCAAATTATTTACCCGCCTCCTCCCCCTGAATATGGAACTTTTCAAGCACCTACCAGTTACCCACCACATCAACCTGTGATCGGTTTTCCTCAGCCAGTTCCTCCACCTGGCGTCACCGCATCATCACTTGAATATTATGCTCATGGTTATCAGGCTGTTCCAAGTTCTTCTACCACCCTCTGCTCCTATACTGTGTTTATGATTTTAATAGTTACCGCAATTAATTATTCAGATGCCGAAAAAAATCACCTGATATTCATGATTTTCGTGAATTGTTGTTGCGTTTTCCAGTGATTATGGGTGGGTTGACTTTATTGTACAAAAATTCAAATCCACCATTGAAGGACCTTGAAGCTTGAAACTCATAACTTGGTTTGTTTGAGTTTTTAATTATTTTGATCCGATCCTATATGGGTTTGTTTGGAAAGTTGATTGGAGGTTGTATCTAAAGTTCTAATCAATTTGGTAGAGATTTTGTAGTAGATTTTAGAAGTTTGGGTTGAAATATAGTTGAACAAGAGAAGAAGACGAATTTGTATTGTATACTCAAATAGTATACAAATTTACCATTTTGGTATACAATTCATTCCAACTATATACCGTATTAGTATAACTATATACTATATTGGTATCATATGCTAGTTGAATCATTTTTTTGTTGTATTAGCTGCATTTATTAGTATAATATTTAATTTTCTTTTAATAATAGTAATATAGTTCAATATCTTGAAATACTTTTATTACATTAATATTTGGTACACTATTTTTTTATTTTTCTCTTTATGCATGTGTGTTATGTAATAGTAGTATAGTCATATAGTTGCCGGGAATTAACCAGTAAAACTGTATACCATGTTGGTATAGTTATATGCCATATTGGTATCTTATGGTAGTTTGAACATTTTTTTTGGTTGTTTTGGTTGTATTTTTAAGTGAATTCTATTCAAAAATTATTTATATGAACGTGATTTGCAGTGCTGGAAATTTTTTGTGCTGATGGATATAGATTACGTGTATTATGTAATAGTTTTATAATTATAGGCAATTGTTGGAACGACCCATACAACTATATACCCTGTTAGTATATGGAATGAGCAAGTTGCTTTGCAAATATTTAGCTTGCAATGCGAGCATGTAATTTTCTCATACTTTTATTGTATCATTTAATGTTTTGGTACAGTAGTATAGTCACAGATTATAGCAATATTCTAGAGCAATCATATACTCTGTTGGTATACATGTATACCATATTGGTATCATGTGGTACTAGAAGTCTTTTTTGCTACTTATATTTTTATTGCATTTTCCAATATTTTATTATCATTTCTATTCTAACTAGTATATATGGAGATTTAGTGGCCGTAGATTATATTGTCTTGCTCCATCACTGATAGATGTTACTGCTAATGGTAGAGTATGTACTAATATTTGTAGGGAAGGAGATCAAGGTTTGCATGGCAATCACGTGGAATTAAAAAAGGAACAAGAAATAAAGAAAAAAAAAATTAAATAAAGGAGTCAAATGAGAGTGTGAAATAAGTTATGGTAAAAATAACAATAATACGATTTGGACAAAAATAAATGAATAAAAGAGAAAAATAAAAAAAAATAGGAAGAAAATGAGAAAAAAGAAAAGGATAAAAGAAAAGAAAAATGGAAAAAAAGAAAAGAAGCATAGAAATAAAAAAGAATTGGAGAATAAAGAAAAAATTCCCCACAAAACTGCTATGGGTAGGAAATGTAATTAGTTTATGGGTAGAAAAACAAATGGGTAGACAAGGGTAAATAGTTTTGTTTTTGTGGGTAACTGTGTCAAAACCCCTTATTTTTTTGGTAGCTTTTTGGTTGATGCAATTTTAGATACAATAGGCTATCTGCACAATCCGTAGTTATGTTTTGTCACACTGGCATTGTGCAAGCATTTATAAAATCTTTGATTACTTATCAAAAAAATACTTAAATGTAGGACAAAGGCAGAATCTTAAACCCAAGGTAGTGTCTTAGGAGCAAGTCTGCGATAATTTTGCTTCATATGGTAGAGATCTGTGGTAATGGTTAAACATATAAGATTTGAAGCTCATTTTCTTTTTGCTATTTGGTAGCCACCTAGCATTTATAAGACTCATGCCGAGGTAAACCAATTAAGATGTTCATGGATGCTGAACTTTTTGAAGCCTATTCTTCATATAAACAGTTTCTAGTTATTCCATTTGATGCATGATGAACCACAATATACAGTAATCCAAATACATATTTTTAAGTTCCCAATATGTGAAATGAAATTTTCTGCTAGTTTTTTGTTTGATAACCGTGGTGTTCGGGCTAGCTTGTGCGCATATTACTAATTTTACAGGCACCTGCTACCTTCCACTAGCACATGTACCGGGTAACTTTGCCCACCAAGGCTTGGACAGATGGCAAAAAATCACCTAATGTTTTTCCTTCTGCGGAAATTTTCTGCAATTTTTAATAAACAAAAGACCTTATATACAAATATAACCCCTATTTTCTGTTTCAGAGTTTTCAGGATCTTAGCAGAATGTATTGCCATTTCTCTCTATCCAAGACTTAGCACTCTATGTTACTAATTTTTCTGGGTATGGAGCTGGTTCTTAGAAAGGTTTATTCTTTTAATGGGAGAAATGTATATCTTATCCCAAGGGCAAAAAAGGAAGAAGTGAATGGGGAATAATGTAAGAAGAGAGAGAAGAAGGAAGTGTCAGTGAGGCTCTTTTGCTTCCACACGTTGAGAATGAGCACTTATATTTCACTAGAAATATTTCTTTGCGTTCGGTAAGAATTAAGATGTGTTGCTTGTAAGGAGAGAATTTCGAGTGCTTAATAGCTGAGATCACATGGTTGGGCTATTTATACAACTGGCAGGAAATCGAGTTGGAATCTGCTTCTCGTTTTTTTAATGGAAGGATGTTGGTTGCTTGAATTGAACCTCATCCTAATTTTCAAATATTTGGCCGTAATTTTGAATCCTGTAGTGATTAAACTGATCACTTGCAATAATAATTGCATTCTTCTTAAACTTAGGTTTCTTGCACTTTCAACGGGCATTATCTATTGTTATTATGCGATGGTGCTAAAAGTTGATGAAGAAGAATTTGGTGGGCATGGAGCTCTCCTGCAGGAAGGGCTTTTTGCTTCTGTGACACTCTTTCTGGTACTTTTAAACTTCATGTCGACTCTTTTTTACCCTCTGTACAAGTGAAAAACAAGTTGTGTCTGTTACCATGGCTAATTTCCTTTCTTTCTTCTTCCTGTTGCTTGTTATTACTCTTCGCACAGCTTTTGTGGACCCTAGTCTACAGTTTGGCTCACTTCTGATGCCGGCTTCTCAACTTGGTTGCTTTTGCTCTGGCTCTTTTCAACTCAGAACTCATATTTTGGGAGATGCACAAGCTATTATTTCTGTTGTTAAGATGAAGGAACTTCCCACAATGACAATGTTGGCTGATATTCACGGCCACTTTTTGACTGTGCAATATTATCTTCAGTATAATCTGGAACATGGTAGCTTTACCATTGCAAAAGATAGTTTCGTAGCATGTATTTGTTCAGCATTCTTTGCTCTTCTTCAGAGTGCAGACCATGCTTTTGACCCAATAATTATGTTTGTTTCATAGCCTTTCTTAGGTAAGTAGGATTTGTTTTTATCCTTATACTCTTGGTAACAAATTCAGCAGTCTCCTTATCGCCACCCTTAAATAACATGTCCCCCAATTCCATCTCAACTAAAGCATTTTAATCAATTTGTCGTCTTATCAATTAAATTCTCAGCTTTTGCACGAGCGGATAATAAGCTTATCAGGTGACACATTCTCTGTTTGCATTTGAGGGAAGCACCTCATAATATCTCTAATCTGCTCATTATGCATAAGGACTCCAATTACTGTATTCCAAGATGCAACATCTCCCCAAGGCATTTCACTAAATAATGTTAAGCCAGTCTTCTTGACAAGCAGCCTCAAATTGCATTGAGGCAAAAAATGGAAAGCAAAACGTTGATATGCCAAATTACGATACCCTTGCTTGTATCTTTTCAAACACTTTTTCCTTGTTAAGTAATTTAACTTACTCAGGATAGTGTCGCCTTTCTTCATCTAATAATTTGTCAATTTTGAAGAGGCTGCTTATGATTTTCATTGTTTTGAATTTTAAGATAAATTATACTATATGTTTATGATGTAAATGGACATAGAGGGAGAGATGTTGAATGAGAGGAACCAGCCTGATCCTGGATTATGCTACTACCAACTGCCAGTTCACATATAGACAAATGAGATATTATTGATTTCAAAAAAACAATTATCTGTTCAATTTTAACCAAAATAAAATAAAATCTGTTAACTATATTTTCTCAAGCACGAACAAATACATTAATGTTTCTAGATATATGGGCAGAATTCTTCTATTATACTCGTTTATGTTTCATGATATGAGACGTGGCGCTGACTTGGATTTGAGACGCTAAATGAGAACAGCTTGCTGTACATAACGCTTCGTGACCTTCAGGATTAACTGAGGGGAATGAAATTAACAGCATCGTCATGCCCATCGTTGCCTCTGTCTAATTAAGTAAACGCGACCATAAACCCAACGTCTGCCAGGTCTTGAGATGGATTGCTGCAGCAAAAGCATATAGTATTAGCGCAATTATATATTTGGATGAGAAAAGAATGTGAATGGTGAAGAACTGAAATGAGTTAGGCGTTCTTTAAATAAAATGTAGAGAGAAAATTGTTAATAACGAAAAATAAAAAATACTCCCTCCGTTTCAATTTAGATGACACACTTTCCTTATTAGTTCGTTAAAAAAAAAATGACACATTTCTATAATTGGAAATAATTGAACTTTAAACTTTTCATTTTACCCATTTTACCCATAATAAGAAGCTTTTATAACCACACAAATATCATGGCCCCACAAAACATTTAAGACCAGAAGTTTCAAAAGTTATCTGTGGTTGAACTAAAATAAATAGAAAACACATCCAAACTCAAGAAAACCAAATCCATCTAACACCTTAAGTGGGCGTTTGGACATAAGAATTGTAAAATTCCAAAAAAGGGTGAAAAAGTTTTTCAAGTGAAAATGGTATTTGAAATTTAGAGTTGTGTTTGGACATGAATATAATTTTGTGTTTTTGAAGTTTTGTGAATGATTTGAGTAAAAAATTTGAAAAACAGATTTTTGGAATTTTTCAAATTTTCAAAGATTTTCAAAATGCATCGTGAAAATTTTATGAACAAACGCCGATTTCGGAAAAAGTGAAATTTTTTTGGAAAAAAGGGAAAAATTTCTTATGTCCAAACGGGCTCTTAAGATTTATGGTTTTATCTTTGCTCTTATAAACCATTCGACGGCATAACATGATATGATCTTGCAATAGTTCTAAAATTGAAAATAGAATAATCATATCATAAAAAAAAGACTAATTATTTTCAGACACAAGAAACAATAAATATGACTACTCCACCGTTACTTACATGTAATGAGATAAGCTGAAGCAGTAAGTATACAAGGAGTTCTATGACTGCTTTAAGAAAATGTTAATTATAATTATTTAGAGTAAAAGCTTAAGATCTATCATCACAACAAATTATTTGCTTAATCATACTTATGGCTTATCATGTGTTTGCAAACTAGTGTATCCAACGTAAAGGGAAAAAGCCTAAGTATACATGAATTATGAATATAACATTATCCGGACCTGTAAAAAGAATGATCTCCACTTTCTAGCAAGTAACAAATAATGTAACAGTGACACCAAAAAGGAAATGTAAAAAATTCCTTCAACCAAATAAGCATGTAGTGTGGAGTATGAGAATCAAAGTCATGGTCAAAAGTACCTCAACCTTGGTCTGAAATTCTAGTTTGCTCCCACAAACATGACAATCAGCTCTATGTGGGGAACGGTTGGACTTCTCTGATTTCACGAAAGCAAACACCTGAAAGTAATAGTGCCAAGAGCTATAAGATTCATCCAGTTCAGTACAAAGAGATTTAACCCCTCTTCACTTGAAGCATATCAATAGCTTCAAGAAATATTTGTGGACATGTGAGAAGCTAGTTCTTAATTACCTCCTCACCACAGTTTGGGCATGCACCTTTCAGAGCGACCAAGTCATTTTTCCAAAGTCCTTGAAGTGCTCCAACTGTGATTAATTATCTCAAGTTATAAATTGTACTTGGAAATCATTGAAGAAAAAAGTTCTCAGAAAACTATGGACAGCCTTGCTTCTAGACATGGTTCAACAATCACATTTACACTGGTGACCATCACCCAACAGTAGAACATGGAGGCAAGTCATCACAATTTATAATTTAAGAAACAAACATTCCTTAACAGACACCTTCTTAAGGAAATTGTTGCAAACCTCACTCTAGTACCCATTTATGCAGCAATGCCAATATAATGCAAACTTAGAAGGGCAAAGAAACTACATAGGATCTTATACTAAATTTTCCTCTCCAATTCTTGTCAAGATACGATTGAGCTTTCTCCTTTTCAAAAGCTAATCTAGCATAGCTGGTTCAAACACGGATTTCAAAATCAAAATCTCTTTCAGATGCTTAAGATCTTTCTGTGTACACAACCGGAGGTGGATAAAGAAAACCATTTTCTCCTTATAAGTAGCCTTTTCCCATTGAGGAACTAAAAGATGCTCATATTTCTCACCAACTTATATTACTTGCACTAGAACACCTAACTAATGAACAGCAAGAAAACCACAGAATGGTGATGTCAATGAAAGGGAAACAGCCTTGATATAAACTAAGTTAAATATCGCTTAACTAAATTTTCTAGAAGCACATCAAAGTAATTTACATATCAGTATGGGGCCTCATGTCAAACAATTGATAATGATTAAACTTGAGAAATGAAGATTCAAAAAGAAAACACATTACCAGAGGCCGAAGCAATTGGAAAGCCTATGATGGATCCCAACACCATGAAAAGGATTCCGTTGAGCACTGTAAACAACTCAAAAGATTGATAGGTGTAGGACATTCCTGAATCAAACATGTCTTGATAAGCTTGAGCAATGGTGTAGATTATAGGCACAATCCAGAATGAACTCCCAAACCCAAGAATTAATAACCATACGCTTGCTAATGCAAACACCTGTGATGGATCTTCCTGCCCTACATCCACATTGATCAATATTCAAGTGTAGGAAGAAAACCTGGTCTACAAGTAGAAAAACCACTCTAGGACAATAAAATCATAATTCTATTATGACACAGCTGAACTAGATTTGCTAATAGCGCAACTAAACTGTGGATATAAGTAATGATTGAACAATAGTTAGTGATCCATAATGTTTTATTTTTGCCTTTCCCATGGCAGATGCAGAGGCTTCATCTATAGAGGGCAATATTAGGTCCAAGAGAAATATCAGTCTACTAAGATATAGTGAAGACATACGAGACACAGGCAAGTACGTGAATCAAGTTTGAAACATTAAAACTTTATAACTGTTAATTTGGCAAACAAGTTAGAGAAATTACATTTTTTTTTTTGGAAAAGAAACAGTAGAGGCTAATATTAAAATAAGGTACAATCTTGACACAATAGTAAGATACCTGCATTTGGAGTCAAAAATATTTGCACTTGCAGTATCCTAAAATGAATGGAACAAGTATTCCAAGGCACAAATAGATATCACCAATCCCCCAAAAAAAAAAAAAAAAAAAAAAAAAAAAAAAGAAAAAAAAGAAACACTCAAATGCACATATCATAAAGCATTTCATATTACAGTAGTATCACCTCTGCATCAGCATAAGTTGATTGCCGCCTGAGACTACAACGGGGGTACTTGACGACATGCTTTGAACCATACCACCGCAACTTTAACTGTTGTACCAAAAATATTGCGTGAGGATTTTAACAATAACATGAAAAATATAGTTTCCAATGGCTATCAACTACATTGAGAAATTCATTACCAAAAAAAAAAGGAAAAATCAACTACATTGAGAAACTTACCTCTACTCTGTCAAACATATCATCAATTATTAAAGGTGTCCCACTGTAATACGCATCACGTGCCTAAGATAAAACAGAAATAGAAGATCAGGGAGCAGCAGGACAAGGGAAAAAGAAATCAAGTTTCTCTCTTCTACCAGCAATTTTTGATAACTTCAGAAATTTAAAGGGGATTTTCACAAACACCACCTTCCAATAAATCCTTGCTGAAATAGTATACTTCATAAGGCCAGTTTTTGGGGCAGGGATTAAAACTGATCCATCATGAACTAAAAGTCACAGAGATAGACCTCATATATACAAATTGCGTTTTCTTTAGCTCTTCATCTAATTGTCCAAAATTTCAAACAAGTACAAACCTCTGTGTTAAAAGGCGGGATTGGGACTCGCCCCGGGGCGGAGCACTCGTAAAACGCCCCTGGGCTTATGTGTGAGGCTTAGTTCCGTGAGACTAACGCCTCGGCCATCGGGGCTTACGCCCCAGGCACACCTAATGCCCAGCGTACTGGGCTCGCCTAATAAAACTTTATGCAATTGTATATAACTAACCATGTAAATCCTCAAATTTCTTAATAAATCGTTGACTATTCAAAATTACTTTTCTCTTAATCATAAATCATTGAGTTGAGAGTATTTTATGTCATAATTAAAATAAAAATTATTGCAAGTTATCCACTAAGACTGCTATGATGATTAATTTTAATAAATCTTTCATTTAAAAAGTATTTATTTATTAACTT